CTGGAGAATACTTTACCAAGACTTTATTTTCAGGAACCAAGGGAGACGAACTCAGGAAGACATTTAACACCGGACAGAGAACTAGGGACTGGGAACACTTTTTATACACACACACAGGAGGAGGGGATGACGAGACACACCTGGGAGCAATGAAACATCAAGTAATCAGGGGAGGAACAGGAAACTAACCAAATAAGGGCATGGGAAGGCACATGGGGAGCAGGACACACACAAAACATGGAACAGAGTCTGACAGTGGTCTTGGCGACAAATAGTAATAACTACGACTGATTTGAATATATGTGGGATTATTAGCCGATATCATAACATGTGTCATATACTCGCAAGGACAGTATGCTTGGAAATAATATTTCACGTCTTCGAATGCATTCATTCAGGGGTGGATTTAGTGATTTGGGGTCCCCAGGCAAAATATAGGAATGGGGCCCTAAAACATTCACACACATTTACCTAGATTAATCTTGAGGTTCTCTTTTTTTTATTTTGTTGTGATGCTTGCTGCTGCACAATGGTGCCCCAGTTGTGTCCAGCGTACATGTTATAATGGCTTTCTTTAGAGGCACGCTGCAAACAAACAGGTCCTGAAGACACACAAGAGGATGATGAGTACTGGCACCCATTTGTACTCAGGGTCGTGCCAGTAGTGACGTCACAGACTGTTGTTGGACAATAATATTGTATTGTTTTGACATGTGCTTCAGACAACGGTCATGCAGGAGGCATTACCCATAGCTGGTCACTGTTATACAGTAACAACATAAGTAACTAGGCTAATTAAAGATCTCCAAGTACCTCCCATAAGTGTAGTTTATCACATTAACATGCTTCACTAATGTTTCGGCATCTGGCACCATGGTGCATACTTATGGTTAGTTGTTGTAAATTGCATGCAGTTCCTCTAATGTCCACTAGGTGGTAGAAGATTACAGGTAGAAGGGTTTGGCATGCACTTACTTGGAATTTTTATACAGTTATATACTCATACTAGTCCTGGTTAACTTTACCCTTAGAGAGTTAAATCCTGTGATTTACGAGATGCCCAGTATGTTCCACCAGGATGGCCTCATCAGCACTTTCTGTAGAAAAAAATACAGCTATACTGAAAAACATGGCTCAAAATGTATTTATAGATGTTTTAATGTAGTAAACATGATGTTTCTCTGCTGAAGTCTGAATAGTGGTACATACTAATGTAGTCTTTGTGTTTCTTGTGTTGCTGACTGTGGTATGAAATAAGGAATATAAGTTGGGTGATATCACTTGTTTAAGTGTGCGTCTGAAAGCTGAAAGATTATGTCAACTGTGTAAACTTCAGCAGACCGCACTTAGGCTATGTCAGCAAACTGTAGAGATCAAAATGTACCAGTGGAGAGAATCTGCTAAGGAAAGCAGAGAAATTTCAAAACAGTTCATATGGGTGTTGAGCTCTGCCATGAGGACAGAAGAAGCTGGAATGAACAACAGAGAAAGGAAACAAGGCAAGATGGGGAACAGATGGGGAGAGAGAGAGGGAATCCACAAGGCTGAAAGAGGGGGATTCAGGTCCCTCATTCTGTGGTTCACAATAAAATCCTCTTAAATATTTAACAATAGATGAGGGACCTGAGGATATGAAAGAAAGAATCAATGGCATTCTGGTTTAATTGGCTGATTTATTCTATAATCTTTACTTTTGAATGTGCGACATGTGTGAGAGAGACTGTATATTAAGCTTGGGGCACAAATACCTGCAGTCAAAACACCTCATTTTGGGGTGCAAAATGTTAAGGGTTGCTTACAATGCATGTCTGTGGAAGAAGTCATCGCGCCGGAATAAATGTCAAAACATTTTCAAACGTGTAGAGTTAAGACTTATATGTGTTAACATGAGACAAGTGTAATAAAATCTAGGAATGCACAATATATTACCATATCAGCTACTAGCTGAGAGACTCATTTCCCGTTTTTACATTTAGATTACCTATGCTGTCATCTAAAGCTCACTTAAAGTTAATCTTTAAAACATTAATAATTTACCTACAATGTTAAATGTAATCTTTAGCAAATCTAAAAATGAATATCCATTTTTTTATACTGTATAATATTTCTAAATTATTATAGTATTTTAAATGATTGATTTTAGATTTTTTTGTTGTCCTTTTAATTTATTTAGAATTTTATTTAAAATATAAAGATATATACAATTTTAACAGCAAACAACAAACAAAACAAAAAATAAATATTTTATCAGTATCGGACAAAATGTTATTTAATTTAGTTTATCTGCCTGTAGCAGTAGTCTGACCACTTCCAGAATTTTACATTTCACAATTTTGTACTGAAAAATTAATTTTGAATGCTAGCAGCACATTTCTGCTTTTAAACTCTCTGGAATGTCTTTTCCCATAGACCTCCAATATAAATACATTACTTTAAACACAATTTTTTTTAATGCCCTAAGGCACTAGTCAGAATGATTGTCCATGGAAATGACAGCATGTCATGGAAGCTTTCGATAGGTTTAAAGTTATACTTTACCCAGAACATTCCCTAAAGTGAGATCACTTTGTGTGTACACACTCTGTATTCTGTGAAAAGTTCTAAACTTAGTGTTTAACGTCCTCCGGATCTTGCTGTTTTGTTATTTTATGTTACTGATTCACATATCTGCTGGACATTTTTTGCAACATTCGGAAGTTACAGCTTCTAAACTCTGTGTCTTATTAACTGTCCCAAGTACTGTATGCCTTAGCATACATGAGTGTGTATTGGTAAGCCACTAAATCATTCATGGCTGACCAGTCATTCCACAGAGCTATAACCACCATAAATACTGGCCTGTGTCCCAAACGATACCCTCAGCAATACCCATCGTCCTCTGCGTCTAGACTCCACATCCCATTCTAATAAGTATTTTTCAAACTATGTTTGCTTCACCTCAGTCTTATGCTTTCTATCACACACACACACTTCAGGTTAAACCTTGTATTTGGTCCTGTAACAAAGGCCACACTGCTGAATTATTGGTTAACAGGACAGTTTCATTGCCTAACTGAGAAGACAGAAGATGACTCTATCAGGTCCTCTTTCAACCCTTAGACCCCCTAGAGTTTTACTGCCACTCTGGAATGGCATCTTTTTTGCTTGAGAAGCTTTTGAAATAAAAAAAAGGCTTTCCTCATATACAAGAGATATAACATTTTCTGTTTATAGTTCAAAAGAAAAAGCACAAAAATATATTTAGAAGTAGAATTGTGCTAAAATAACACTTTTGTTTAAACCTCTTCTCAGTTTCCCTCCTTCAACATAGGACCCCATTTAACCCCCCCTTTTTTCTCTTTTCTTTCTCTCCCTCCTTCTGCACACTCTTGGTATTAGAGCAGGGGCAGGGCTTATCACTCACCCCTCCTTCACTTCAGTGAGAGAGAGAAAAAAACAATAGACTTTAATCACTCATGTGGCCACAGCAGAGAAGCTGCCAGCCTCTTTTCGCATTAGACTGAGGTCGAGAGAGTGAGAGAGACTGTTTGTGTGTTGGGAAACAGCAATTGTGGACTTCTAAACACAGATTTGTCAGACTGTTTCCACTTCACTCGAACGGACAAAAGGGCACGCTCTGAAAAACCGCAAGTGACAATGCCCTTCTGAGACAGATAAGCAAACACACAGGCCTGCTATCACGGGAGCACCGGGTCTCTAGCCCTGAGCATGTGTGGGCAACCTGCACGGGCATCATGATCTCGCACTATCCGCTGGCATCGCTGCTCCCCTGGCCGCCCATCCCACACTGTCTGGACCTAGATGGGGAGGGAGGGGTGGCCCTGCAGAGGTACCAACCACGATCACCAGAGAGCAGCCCTCGTTGCTGGGTAGGTCACTTACATTTGTCTGCAAGACTGCTGTGATGTATTTCAATTTTAGCTAGTGCTCGTTTGGTGGTTTGCCTTCAGCATGTGAATGGACTTTATTTGAGTTATGCTTTGTTGTTTTGGGTCTTTCAGAGATGTAAGATGAATCCAAAGTTAAATGTAGATTGATTTGGATTAAACTTATATTGTGTTGGTTTTTAGTCTGCATAAAGATGTAAGCATGCAGAAGGAATTAATTGTACTCAAGCAGCAGTCTGAAAGTTGCATTTCACACTGCAATAGTTATACCTTGCTTTCTCAAGCAATAGCAGAAATTTAAAATAGACTTAAAAGTAAATCCAATCTAAAAATTGACCAATAAATGCACCAAAACTATTTTAAAGGGGTCATATGATGCTACTAAAAAGAACCGTCCTCTTTTGGAAGGCCAAAGAAAGTAGTTTCGCTTTCACAACGAATCACACAGCGCATTCACAACATGGCGGCAGCAACAAAACTACAGCGAGATATAAAAGTTAATAAAAAGTTAATAAAAATAAAAGTTACGCCTTCTTTCTTTGCATGAACATTTGGGCGGTGTTATGCAAATCTTCCCACATAGTAATGTAGGTATGTGGGGGCGTGTTAGAACAAGGCATTTTAGGTAGGTGTGGCTGACTCTTAACTTTTATAAAGAATATCTCTTTGGATTTGAGACTTTAGTCTTTGCAACTTTACAGATCTTCTTTATGCACCAAGAGCTTGTAACACTCCAAAGAGAAAGAAAAAATTGAAATCGCATCATATGACCCCTTTAAATACTTCTGACTAATTACACAACGTGTATCACAACGCGTAAAACTTGTCATATGGACAATCAGTCTGTATCCAGCAGGCTGGTTTAAGTATACAAGCCGTACTGTACAGTACATCATAGCACAGTAAGTTGTAGCCTGTATGTGTTGATTCGCTAAAAATAACTAATTTAAAAGAATAATTTGCTCGACAATCACACTACGCTGGTGGAGTTTTATGTTTTTGATTAACAAAAAAAAGAACTGATTTTTAAGGGTTGTTCGGTCGGGAATCGGACTGCACCGGTCGCGCTGTAAAGATTTGGTTCACTAAAAAGAGCCGACTCATAAGAATTGTTCATTGGAAATGGATTGCCACTTGTCGCGCTGTATGGATTTGGTTCACTTGAACCGGCTCATAAGAGTCATTCATTCGAGAGTCGGACAACACTGGTCGCTGTATGATAGTGTGCCTCGGAACGGAACATTCGTTCTGGTCATTTTATTTCTATGCTTTTAATGTGAACATTAGTGAATAAAATTTCCTCAGACAAGTAGGCTAGAATAGGCTATATAAATCTTTTTTAACTTATTAATACCGATAGATGTCAGTGGGAGGAACTTGTTTAATGAATGTTTGTGTGTGTGTGTGTGTGTGTGTATTGACCTCCTTGTTGTTCATAATGGGACTCAGGTAAACCTATCTGTAGCCTATTACTCAGTGCAATGCTGTTCACATCACTTCAATTAAAATGTCTTACATTAGCACTTTTGAATGTGAGCCAGTCCATTCAGGGAAAGTTGAATCAGAGGTGAAAAGGAAAAACAACAATAGAGCTAAATGTTTTTTCTCAAGAAAGCCCCTAGATCTGCTGGCCACATATTCATTGACCAGCAAAATTTGTTAAGAGGATAGGGTGTGTGTATGTGCGTTTGTGTGTATGAGGTGGTGGTAATGGTGTGTGGGGGTTTCAGAGCGGGAAAAGCTCTCTCTGTCAGCACTTTTTCAATAGTCATAAACTGGAACTGACCGCTGGTGACTCGGTCTGTCTGACCAGCACTGACCAGAACAGTGTGTTTCAATTCAGGGAAATAGCATGATTGTGTTATACAGAAAGAGACTCAGCATCATAACATAGGCTACTCGCTGGAGGGAGCGCATAGATTTTGGCAGTAAGATGGAGTTATATGCGATGGATGCTGAGAGAGGGAGATGGTGAGGGAATGGGAGTATGTGAGTGAGTGTTTGACAGCTCACGTTAAGTGGCTTCAATGTATATGTGTGAATTTACATAGCAGATTTGTCAGAAAAATTGCACAATGTGCTAGGGGTCAGTGGAAATGTTAATAAAAAATGTATAAGTAAAATATAATAAATACAAATACAAAATAAGTTGCAATATACATAACTTTACATAATAATAATGTTCTTCTAACAATGAGGTCCTAGAGAGCTTTGCAGGTAGTATGTAATGCTATGGGAGAGTAACTCATAGTGAGAGAGAGATCCATCCTTATCCAACATCCTGACTCAGGTCTCTTCCTCTCACACTGGAGAGTTTCCGAGTATTGTTCCTCTGACAGCATATTGTTCCTCTGACAGTGAGGCCATAGAGTGCTCCCTCGTCACTTTACCCTACGCTCACCCATGGAGTCCAGTCCACACACATATTCAACATAGTTCACACACACACACACACACACACACTCACGTCAATTCAAACACATTCAATAAATACCAAACTCGCAGATATGCGCACATACATAGACCAACGCAAAATGACTTTGTCTCCCACAAATGTCCCACAGATCTGAAACTCTCATTTCTCGATTATGCCATATGGGACCCCCGGCCACCCTTCACCTCAGCCATGCCATTCTCACTCCCTCTCTAGTTATCTCGGAAAGACTTCACATGATTATTTTTCCCTTCCCCAACTGCTTCAAACTGGAAACTCCTTAATTCTACTCATTCAGAGACACGAGAGGGTTGCATAATGCTTCAACGTTTTTATCACTTAAAGCCTTTTACAGCTTTGCTGTACTCACATATCCTTAACCACTGCTTAGCTACAGTTACAAAAACTGGTTGTTAAAGTTTGATAGGGCCTTCATGGTAGTTAATTGCTTTGTTTTTGTGGCTTTAATGATGAAGATAGTGGCCAAAGTTCAAGTAAGATGGGTCAGGTTGCTCTGGATACCTCCTTGCACATTCTACCAGCTATAAATGCTGATATAGCTGCTGATTTTCTGCTTGACGCAGCAAAGCCTCGGCACAACCTTTGTAGTCAAGTGATCAAGGACTGGGGTCATTGCACTCATATATTCAGCCTATATTGCACAGTCCTGTTGCTGACATTCACTCATGAAGAAGTCAATATGGGTCAGTGCCATCGCACATTGAGGAAGCTTTGCGCAGACTGAAAGCGCGTGTCTGGAATTATGCTGAATATAGGAATCGCAAACTAAGCATTCTCTGTTTCTGCATCACTTCTCTTTTTGGAATCTACTGTTGTGGATGTTTGTTAAAAGCGACACTGATGGTTAGTTGCTAGCCGGTGTTTCCTTGCTTGCATTCAGTGAGTCACGCGTTGTGATGGAGAATCTGATTCAGTAATTCAGTGACAGTTTTGCAACTGGTAACAAGAAAGCACGAGGCCTAGAACTTATCCAAGTGCTGTAGTGCTGTAGTAGAATGAAACACTGTAAATCTGACAAAAAGAGATTGAGCGATCAGGCCTATAGTGGTATAGTGTGCACATGCAGACAGATGTGGTGCTTATATAGGAGATGCAGGTTTTAATCTGGCTTATGCTGCAATCCAATTACCTCTCGCATCTTGATAATTTCATGTCCCTTTCCTGCTGTCTCTGCCAAAAAATGACCAAAAATGCATAGATCAAGGTATAATGATAAGGATGGTTGACTGGTGCTGTTTAATAATTTTACATAATTTACAGGCATTTTTAAGCTTCTCAAAACATTTGGTTTTCAGTTGTTTATTCTACATTAAAAAAATCTTCTTATTTAAAATGTATCTAAAATATCTTGCAAATATATGTTTCCACAAATATATCTACATCGTTCAGATGTTTGGTGCCAATAAGATTTAATTAAAAGAAAATTTGGTAAGAAGTATTTTAAAATACGTAAGTACAGTGAAAACAGTAATATTCTCAAATATTATTACAATTTAAAATAACCTTTTGTTTTTAATATATATTTTTATATTTTAATGTATTTTAAAATATAGTTTTTTTCCTGTTATTTTAATATATTTGTATATCTTTAAATATTTCAAGAAGTAATTTATTATTGTACAGGCAAATCAGAATTTTCATCAACCATTGATCCAGTCTTTAGTGTCACATGATCCTTCAGAAGTCATTCTAATATGTTGATTTGATGTTCAAGAAACATTTCTATTATCAAGGTTGAAAACAGTTGTGCTGTTAATATTTTGTCGAAAGCATGATACATTTTTCAGGATTCTTTTATTAATAGAGCATTCAAAAGAACATTTATTTGATCTATTAAAAAAACCTTACTGACCCCAAACTTTTGAACAGTTGCATAAATAGATGTAGGAATAGAGCTTTTCCTAATATAGCATGCTCTTTAGGTATTGTAGTTGCATTGTAAATGGATAGCATTCTCCATAAATGTGTCAGTCTGCATGACTGCACTATTGAACTTCCAGGGTGGAGTTTGGTTCAATGCGTGTATGATAATGGAAGAAGTTATTAAAGCTGCTAATATGACTGCTGTCACCCTCAGTCTGACAGTATGACGCCTCAGGCTGAAGTCCAAAGATGGCAAATCACTCAACTGGGGCAGAAAATGTATACCCCTCATGTATAGAGCGAGAGGTTATACAGGGTAGACCAGTGAGTGTGAATGTGTGTATCTGGCTTAATGGAGAAACAAGTGTGCGAGGAATGGTGTGTGTGTGTGTGTGTAAAAAGATTGTGCTTGAGTGTGTGTGCCCGGTAAATTCTGGGAGGTCTGTGAATCTTCTTAGCTGTGGTAGATGACGTGTGTGGAGCCACTCAGGTCACTGCAGCCGTTACACAAACGCACACAGTCCTCTTTAGCCTCACACAGCAAAAAACAACAGCTCCCTCCTCCCACCTACAGCCCATCCATTCATTCCCTCTTTCTCCCCCCGTGGCTGGCCTGATCCCTGTCATGTGGCCTGGCTTACTGCAACCTCTGTCAGAGCGGTAG